CCCTTTTTTTCTATATCTATGGCCGAAACCAACCAAAGTGGTGCGCGTGCAAAGTGCCTCTAAGCGGATTATTGCTTCTTTTTTTAATAAAACTGGACACGTGGCTACTGTTGCTGTGGAGAATCGTTGTACCATGAATAGTGATTGGTACACGACTATTTGTTTACCGGAAGTTATTGACAAACTCCGTAAAAATAGCCGTAAACGCCGTATCATCTTGCACCACGATGATGCCAGTTCTTACACGGCCAGACAGACAAATGAATTTTTGAAGGTGAACAACGTTGACCTTATGAGCCATTCCGCGTACAGTCCCAACCTGGCATCTTGTGATTTTTATTTATTTACAAAAATTAAGAACCAACTGGATAACCATTTTAGAATAAGTTTATATAATCATCAGGGAGTGGAAAGAATTTAAAAAAGAAATTACGCTCCTTATTGGGAACGCTTCTTATTAAATTGTAATACAAATAAATAAGCAATAAATTCGTCAAGGTCTGTTGCCATCTGGTATTGAAATTCTTATTGAATCTTCTGTAATAATGGGTTTATAATTTGATTTATTGTCAATCTGCCAGATGAAAGGATAAGATACGTGCTCATCTGGCGTATGCAGACGACTAATGTGTTGTGAGCTGCGAGCTATTCACCGCATGTAAATCTGGGGCGAATGTCGTTCCGCGCCTGACACGTTTTGTAATTACAGTCACCTCGGGATGCTATTTGTTCTGCTATACAGTATTTTTTTTAAATGGTATAGTATGGGGAAATCAGAAACCATACAAGATACAAGGAAACTGTCTTAGAAACCATTAAGTCTTTTTTTGTGAAAACAATTTCGGCATAGTAAATTTTTTGGTCAACCATGAGATGTCCATAAAAATGAATAATATTGGCCAACATTTTTTTAGTGGTGATCGACTCAGTCTCATGTAGGGATCATTTTATTGTATGGGATGAAAATAACAATATGTACTGCAGCTACATACATTACCAAACTTGAAATCATACGGAATTGTAAAAGACAACAATATTTCTCTTCATAGTCTAATTATTTTTAACAATCAAAGTAGACATATTTGTTAAAAGTTTATTATCATAATGAATTATGTATGGAAAGCAAAAAATGTAATTATATTATTCCTTATTTCCAATTATATTTTTTTCTACGGTATCAACTAATAATGTGATTAGATGGGTTAAGATCAGAATGGTTTTGTGATCCCACAGAATTAATGTATACACCGCAACCAACTCTAATTGTACAGACCTACCTACACATGTGTACCTAACATAAATTGTAGGACCGAAAAATGTCCAAAATGTTTATTAAAACGTCATAAGAATTTTTAGAACAATGTTAGACTTTACCTTGCGGAACTGTGGTTTATAGATCAATAAACCCTAGTTACGCAAGGACAACTATGACTTTATTAATGACAACATTTCGAAAATAAATTGAGAAATTAAACTAAGACAAGGAACACAAGGAACGATCGAGGAGATATCACTATAATCACTTTTCTTGTATAGCATTATATATGAACCAATATTGTAGCATGTTCGGTTTTTGCTTAATTACAACAAATGGACGAATATTTTCCAAAAATGCAATAACGCACATATATTATAAATAGAGGCGTTTTACCTACCAATAAAACGCTTATTAATTTACTTACCTTATTCGAAGCTTATATGAATTGAGATAGGCACTACGTTTCCCGCCTTATATAGTTGTCTCTTTCTACCGGATGTAGCTAGCTCTTTTGCTCTTTCCCTACCATCGCCGGGTAGTCTCTCGAGGAGAGAGGGTCGTCATCTCTGGTTGTTCATTGAGTCGAAAATTCGCCAGGCCGAGATTAAAGTATAAGCTTCGAATAATGTAAGTAAATTAGTAAGCGTTTTATTGCTAGGTAAAACGCCTCTATTAATTTCACTGTACCGTTATTCGAAGCTTATATAAAATGATACTTGTTTGTTACCGCCTGATGGTGGCATCAAGAGACGTCAATGTGATTAAAAAGTTGTAATTTAACACTATTATTATGTAAAAAAATTTCAAATACTAAATTTCTTTTAATGTGATCGACAAAACAAAGGCATAAGAAAAATGATTACACACACAGCGTTAACGAAATAGTCATAATTTTCATACAAGGATCATACTGATCACATAAATTAGAAGCAATTATGCTTAGATGATTGGATTAAAAAAAACAGTTTCAGATTTACTACGTTCTGGCAAAACCTGGCGTCTGTAAAACTTGGAAAAGGTATTTTCAGATCTTCCATTGCCTCTTGATATAATTTCCTCTAAGGAATAATTGTCTAGCCAGTTTTTGGATTCAACTGCGGATCGTATACTTCCCGGAGATGCGGTTATATTCGCATCCTTTAGCGAAGTTTTAACCCAACCCGCCAAGATTGTTCGGGATGCTGGCTTGATGTTGCCTCTAAATGTAACAAATAGACTATTACACCGAGCCATATTGCGACGGCTCTGAAGAAGTTGAATAGTTTGTTTATCTTAAAACCTGGACTTAAATGTCTATTATTTGGATTTGCGATAAACTTTCAACCCGATTGCCTGTAATCCGCCGAATCGGTCTTAGACCCAAAAACAGGCCAAAAAACAATGGAATTATCTGTTTGTACACAATGATCAGGTTCAATATTTAGTAACGCCAAATCATGTATCCTTCTTTCAGAGCACAATAACAACAAAGTAGCCGTGTGCCTCTGGACTTGAAAAACATTATTACAATCAAAAGTAATTTCACCCATATGTGTAGCCAAGTTATCAATATTCCATATTGGAGGTTTGTGCCGCACTGGTTTTTTAAGTGATACAGATTTAAGAACATGTTTGACTAAGGTATGAGAGCTCAGTATGGCTGATATATCTGGATTACATGGGGTACAAATTGCAGATTTGTATAAGAGACTTATATTATAAGATAATTTAAAAGTAAGTGTAAATCAGCTAGAAATCGTGCCATTTCTGAACCATTAGGATTGACAGAGTCAATGCCAGTATCTTCACACCAATTTAGCCATATTTTCCATGCAACGCCATAGGTTTTTCTTGTTGAAGCTCGCCAGGAACCTTCCAAGAGTTCAACCTGACTGCTATCCCAGTCCATCACGTGCGTAGACCACCCCCACATTTCCACACTTCTAGAACCATCTCGTTCACGTTCGGGGGTGCGAGGCCTGTCGATGTGTCTATTAAATTCTTGTCTAGGTCCCTCAACGTTAAAGGAGCTACAAGTGCTCGGGTTTTCAGATCTGCCCGCTAAAAACTCGTTTTCAGCGGGGAACTACTAACAGGTACACTCCCCTTGCTTAATTCAGATGAATTAACACTTTGGGTATAAGGTACGGCGGCGGAAAAACCCAAGCCAGAGTATAGGTCCATATTTGAGAAAAGGCAACGTGAAACAGTGTTTGATGATCGTGCTGATCCAGAGAGGCATAAATGTCTACCACATGAGCTGTGCTGGACGCAAAGAGGTCGATTAGTGGGATTCCACATTTGGTAAAGATCTTTTCTGAAGCTGCAGGTAATAAATGCCATTCCGGAACAAGCCTTAGCCTGGAAAGATGATCCGCACGGGCATTGTATTTCCTGGCAAGATGAAATACGTTTATGTGCATTTGATGCTGATTCAAGATTTGAAACACTTGATATGTTAAGTCCAAGAGACGATTTGACTTGGTTCCTCCTTCGTGTTGTAGATAAGCAATTACTGTTTTGTTGTCGCATTGGATCAATATCGTACTTTGTTCTAGGTACCGACAGTGACCTTGCAAAACTTTTAGAATTACTAACATTTGCTTTTGGTTGCAACGAAGATTTTGTTCGGCTTCTGACGAAAAACCCATCAAAGAAAAATTGTCCAATTCTGCTCCCCACGCAAGGTCCGACACGTCTATCGTTAGAAAGTGAGATGGAGGTGGTGTGTGGATTGTGACGGGCGATCGCCGTTCTCCAACCACCACTTTATATTGTCCAGCGCTTCGCGAGGTAGATGGTTCAAGGTCCTCTGCTTGTTTTCCAGCATGGTGTTTAACTGGTTCAACAACGGTCGATCATTGAGCCTTCCCCGTGGGACTACGAAACTTGCGAAGTTTAAAAGGCCTACTAGGCTCTGAAGGACTTGGAGTGTAACCTTTTTTTTCATTAACGTTTGCTTCAACTTCTCGCGTAGAGCAGACAGTTATACATTCAGCAAACGATTCATGTTCAACTACGGATTCCACTTGATCCCTAGATAAATTATGCTCTTCGAAGGTTTGAGTATGGATTTGTCGTAATTGACCATCCATCCTAATGTCTCCAAAATTTGGAGAATCATTTGCACATCTCTTTGAAGAGAAATCTTGTCCCGGTGAGCAATCAGGAAATCGTCTAAATATACAATGATTCTTATATTTTTCTCCCTGAGAATCTGTGCTATCCAGTTGGTTAAAGACACAAATGTTTTGGGCGCTGTGCTTAAGCCGAAAGGCAAGCACATGTCATTTCCAGCAAATCCCCTCTGTACATGAGACGTAAATATCTTCTGTGGCTGTGAGCTACGGGGAGGTGAAAGTAGGCCTGAGATAAATTTATTTTGCATAGCCAATCCTTTGGTTGTAGGAAATTTGGTACCCTGAATACATTTAGTAGTCGGAACTTGTCCTTCATTACAAAATCGTTGGGGGATTTTAAATTGAAAATTGCCCAGGTGGAGCCATCGCTCTTGGGAACTAGAAAAATTGAAGACAGGAAGCTGGGTGACAGCTTGACTTTTTCTAAGATACGAGTACCTTGTTGTTTCATTTGTCTTATAGTCAAAGTCATTTCGGTAGATTCTGGAGTGTTTTTGACATTTCTGGATAAGTTTGGGTGAAATTGAGGCGGTTTGTGACAAAAGGGTATGCTATTTATAGTATAGGTAAAGGGTACCCTTTTAATTTCCTCAACATAAACGCTGGTGCCCCTAGTTACTGCCATGTGTTTAAAAATTGAGCAAGGCGACTGGCGCGAAACTGAGGTGAGTCAATACTTACGTTTTATATTGTCGCGCTTGTGCGCCGATGGTGAGTGCGCGCGCTTATATCCAGATTTGAAATTACTCTGGGGTTTCGCGTTGTCTCGAAATGTTCGACCATGAATATCACCTCTATGACTGTTTCCATTTGGCCGAAAACCCTTGCCCTGTGAGGGACAGTAGTGTTTGCAATTACCCTGCGAGGATGTACTGGGGCAGTGATGCTGTGAGCAACTCGCTTCATAAAAAATTTCATTAGTAAAACCCTGCGAGGGTTTTATGTAAGATGATAACCTCTGCGAGGAGGAAGTTGCTTTGTTAGGCTGTGCCTGTGAGGCATTAGATGTATTATTGTGTTTATTAGGTGGCCAAAAACTTTTCCTGACGCCACGGGCTTTTTCATGAGCCATTAAAGCTTTCTGCATTAAACAGATTAGTGCACGAAGGTGGTATTCTCCGCAACACTGCTTTAAGAAGTGGGTTAACAGCACTTATTTATTATATAATCTTCTTGCAGAATACAATAATGTACACATGGCGAATTTGATGCCTTATGGCATTCTCTGCCAGTCAACCACTGGGCCAAACTTCAAAATAGAAAAAAAAGTAAAAATATCACAAGCCAAAATTGTATGATAATGCTGATCCAAAATTTATTAAAATCGGAGCATATACCACGGGCGCATAACGAACGGACCGTTTTAAATAATTATCGGAGTTTTTGAATAACAATCTTGACTTCTTTTATTATATATAATTAATTAATAACTTTCATTTGTCGTTTATTTGTGTCAGTCGCTCTAAATTAAACCAAAGTAAAATAAAATGATTATTGAACCAAAAAATGCTTTATGGATTGTCATTTGAGCATATAAAAATAAAGTATTCCGTTCAGTGAAAAAGATTGGGGAAATATGAGTCGGGAAACTAATCACTTAATTGTCAACGTGTCAAAATAATAAAACAAATATCGAAAAGAAACCTCTTCAACAACTGCCGCCGTGACCTCACGGTCACCAAGCTGGACTGCCACGCAGAGGTCCGGAGTTCGATACCCGGACCGGAAGAAATATTTGTATGTCCAACATTTATTTCTCTCATGAGTTTGGATCTAATTTGTAGTTGCCTATTTGTGCGGGGCAATAATCATATTCTAGCTTGTGATAGATAATGTATGCTGTTGAATGTCTTTTTATAAATAAGTAAATAATAACACAGACTTATTCCAACTACATCACGTGGAGTGTGCGAAGGAATTGCACGATTTAATTATCATTCGCCTTTCTATGATCGAGGGACTAGACGTAGGCTGAGGTTCCACCCCTACGTTATGGATTTCCAAAGATTTCACGAAGCGTTACGCTTCCACATTTATATGGCGAACGGCTGTGGAGTGAAATCCTCTGCCTACAGACTTATTCCTTGAACGCTACAACTTGAGCCTTTTCAGAGCGAGGGTGAATAGTGAATAGTGTGCATGCTCCATCGTTGACCTCATCAGGCGAAGTAGGTCAATGCGCACATATATTTTATTAAAAAAAAATTACTTGAACAATCACTCAATAACACTTCTGCCTAAAGAAAACTTACTAAGTAGGTAAAACTGTTTGTTGCGCAGGCCGCGGCCTAAATCGACAAGATGTTTACCCGACACTCTCGAAATCTTTCGCCATTTATTCGATACTTATAACAATACGGTATTCAAGTAGCGGACGTACACAATACTTTCGTTCAAGTTTACTAATAAATAAGTTTGTTTCGTAATGTTTGTATCGAAACTGTATTCGTTTTTCAGGAAACTTGCTCGTGATACTGGTGGTGACGCTGTCGAGGCGACTTCGTTCTATAACGAACTTCTTCCTGGCGAATCTGGCGGTGGCAGATTTATGTGTTGGAGTGTTTTGTGTCTTCCAAAATTTGACGATTTATCTTATACCAAGGTGAGTTCGTATGTGAATTTTTAGTAAACATAAGATATGAGCGTAAATAAATCTGTTTATTTACATGTTTTAGTAAAATTTAATGCTGTAATAACATTCTCGCGTAAAGTGGTATGATTATTTTTAATGTACTCTAAGGTGTAGCAGAATAAATTGAATGTTTGTTATTTCAAGTTTTATGAAAGAGAGCCGTTTCTTTAAATAAGTATTGAAAAAAACAATAGTCAAAGCAATATTCTTGGGTGAACATTTAAATGAATGAATTCACATTCTCCGAATAAGTGTTTCGCCGGATCGTTTGCCTCCTGTTTTACGTACGAAAGAAAATCATACCATAATTAAAATTATAACAACAACAGTAATTTAAGCATAAGTAACAATTTCTTCCATACAGCCATAGGATAGAAATTTAGATGCGAATGGGGAGATGAAAATTTTGTTCTTGATAGAACAGGAAACTGTTTACAATCAATCTCCTATAGTTAATGTTATTCTATTTGTACCGGTCTGTTTCACTCGTGACAGTAAATGGTTCGTCTAATCAATTCAAACAACACGACATTACATAACCTTGTGGAACAATTGTCACTCTTCAAAGTACCTTATGAATTGCAAAGGCAATTATTAGAAGCACTACTAACATTACCCGTCACTTGAAGACACGTCATGTATTAGAGAAAGAAATGAAAACAAAATGGGACCAGCCGGCAGTGACCATTTGACTTAAAGAGCTCGAAACGTCGGTTTATTTGAAAAAAAAAAAACAATATACGCGATTTAGACTAAAATAAAATCAATTCCAATGGCAGCAATCGCGAAAATCTAGAATAGGTGTAAGTCTAGAATAGGAGTGAATAGGTGTGAGTGTGATCCATGGTGATGGATTTAACTCGTGAAAATTTTCGTAGTATGATTTTCTATGACTTTAAGTGTAATTTAACAGCTACGCGAAGCTTCGCTCAGCTTCAAACTGCTTTTGGCGATGAAGCACCATGGAAGACGACTATTTATAGCTGGTTTGCAGAATTCAAACGCGGTCGTGTGAATCTAAGTGACGAATTTCGTGATGGTAACCCGTCCACTGATTTGAACAACAAAAACATCGATGCTGTGTGCCGTATGATCAAAACAGACAGGCATGTGACATATCATGGAGATTCGGGCATATTTAGTCATAGGCATGAGTCAAATACAATCAATGCTACGCAAACATTTGGGTGTGGAAAAGCTGTAGCTCGAGTGTAAGTTTTTCATCATGGCAAACGTAACGAACGCGTTTGCGTTAAAATCGTAATTAGTATGGGAACATGAACAGCGCCTCTGGCGGTACGTATTGGCAACAATAAACGCTAGTGTATTTGTCAAAATGAGTAACGCGCTCGATCCGTATTTTACGTATCGAGCGCGTAACTCACTTTGAACCGCGTTTTTTGTGTTTAAAAGGTTACAAAAAAGTTATAATATGAATAAATATTGAACTTACCTTTTTCCATTTTTCCGTGGTTTTGGCATGACCAGTGGCGTCGGCATTTAATAAGGTTCCTTATTTTAAGACGTAATTGTCTTGATTCGACCGCGGGCGTTTTTTGAAGGTTTGGTTATATCACCATAACTGATACCAAGATTTAAGTACACATTTTTTGTTACACTTACGTTGTATTTGTCTCACATTTTACACAAAAGAAACTACAAAGAACTTACGTTTCCATAAAATTCACGAGCATCTCAAATTGGCTCGGACTAGTTTTCATGATGAAAATAACAAACTAGAATGAAAATTTTATAAAATAACGCACCAATTCCCAAGTTTTAAAACTTGTGTTGATTAACACTCGGCAACAATGGTAGGCACTCATATTTGATGCCTCTTTTACTCTTGTAGAAGAAAATGAAACAACACTATGTTCATTCGTCGTTCATTCGAACAAATATTATCCGTCCAAATTATGAATAATATTCACGATGACCGGTGCCCCTAATGCAAAACTACGTTTTAAATAAATCGTATAATTGTCATCCCGAAACTCAAGTGCCAACCTACAGAAGAAAAAAATACTTTCATAGCAGTGAGCACACGCAACGTTCGGTGAAGTGACACTTGAAAAGATACACTCGCATAACATGACAAAACTTCTCGCTAATAGTTAACTCACCTAACGCGCTCGAAGCGTATTCGAATTTTTTGGTAAAACTTACACTAGTGCTTCTGTGCTCTCGGTGGATCCAACACAATTTGGCTTTGGCTCAACAAACAGATCGCGTCACTTGGTGCAATGCCATGCGTACCAGATTCACCGAAAGGACGTTAAATTTGGTTTGGGACATAGTAACAGGTGACGAAATATGGATTTATATTTACGATCCCAAAATAAAGCAGCAATCAAGCATATGGGTATTCCGAGATGAGCCGAAACCAACCAAAGTGGCGCGCATGCAAAGTGCCTCTAAGCGGATGATTGCTTCTTTTTTTAATAAAACTGGACACGTGGCTACTGTTTCTTTGAAGAATCGTTGTACCGTGAATAGTGATTGATACACGACCATTTGTTTGCCGGAAGTTATTGACAAACTCCGTAAAAATAACCGTAAACGCCGTATCATCTTACACCACGATAATGCCAGTTCTCCCAAGGCCAGACAGACAAATGAAGTTTTGAAGGTGAACAACGTTGACCTTATGAGCCATCACGCGTACAGTCCCGACCTGGCACCTTGTAACTTTTATTTATTTCCAAAAATAAAAGAACCAATTACGCGGTTAACGATTTTCATCATCTGAAGAGGCTGTCGAGGAGTGTGAAAAATATGTTTCAGAGATTGTCACGGAGGAGTGGCATAAATGTTTTCAAAATTGGTTCATTCGTATGAAAAAGTGCATTAACGCTAACGGAGAATATTTTGAGAAACAATAAATTCATTTCTGACTTTATTCATTGCGGAAACTTATAGTGCGCCTCACGTACTTCCCTGGACGAATTCTTTCACAAGGAGCTCTACTGCTGCTAAAAAATTCAACCTTTATATTATATTTTTTATTATATATTTAATTATATTTTTTTTAGATAATGTAATAATGTAAATTATATATATTCCGCGTCAAAACTAACCATATGAGCTCAAACACAAGTAGCTGCTCTATACTGATGAGAGAATTACTCTCATCTTTCAGCCATTTCAATCATCAGGTATCTGATGCTTACCACAATATTTTATTGTCATTGAAAGTATATCTAAGTGCCTAGTTTTATTATAATTGGTTAACGGAAAGTGAGGGAAATTCCATGAACCAGTTTTATCCCCCTAAATGAACACCTAAGGTTCAATTCACACTGACGCAGAGTCGAAGCATAACGTCGCGTCCTGGTTTTTCAATCAATCTTCTCGAAACTACAAATTATAAAAATCAACTTACGTCTTTTAATTAACTTTAAAGGTTCTTAAAAAAAAGCAAATTAAAACATACGCGTGGTAAGCTTTTGACTACTGTGTGGCACGCCTGTCCCGGACCGTTTTTCCCGCTGTACCGACTCTGTGTAACCTGAGCTTAGTTCCGGAACTTCAGAGGGCGGTATTAACCATCTATAGCATTCCTTTTCAAAGCTTAGCGACACATACTCTGTTCTTTCCAACGTCGGGTTATTACTTGTACATAATATAGTATTGTACGTTTATTTTGTACTTAAACATACACCGCTCATATTTCGCAATGGTCATTAAGTAAACAGGGAGCCAACATTGCTGACATGTTTGTTTGATTAATCCCAAATGAACATTGTTGATTTTGTTAATGGTATTCTTGTTATCACGCACACGTTTCTATTGATTTTGCATTCCTGAGCGAGATTTCGTAATACACTAAATTGAGACACAAAACGTTGAAACAAAAAATATTTCTCTTGCTTTCTCCATCGTCGTTATACTGCGAAAGCCAGTTATCTGGGGTTTTTTTCACAAATGACTTAATTACAGGAAAGCGCGACATAATTGTTAATGTAAAATACAAATATTTACATAGTTGCAATATAAAATGTGGAATTATCTGTGTTACAAATTAATGACCATGGTGTTTGCAAGAAATATTTGTCGTTGAAAGGTCTATTGCATTTATTTCAAAGTCTATTAGTTATAATTATGTGCTCTTTCAAGACTGTATCGATCTATGATGTTTGAAATAAATATTGTAAAGGATAAATGCGTGCAATAAATGTTTATTTCCAAGAGCAACTCCTATATTTTCTTACTCATTCTTCTCCGAGGAATCTGCCTTACTAATGAGTAGAGAGTTTGATCGTCGTGACGACTTTTTACTTTTTTGATTTTTGACGATTTCAAGTGTAATTTACTTAAGGCTTCCGCCAACAAACTACGAGTTGTCGTAGTCAATTGAGTCCAGAAACGCCAGAACCAGGCTTGCCCCAACGAAAAGTCTCCGACCGACTCCTAAATTCAAACGAGCTGGGATAATGTACTGTGCGTAAAGACTTTAAATGATGACTTTAATAGATGCAATTTCGTAACGCAAACGAGATACTAAAACATAAAATAGAGACCAAGAGTAGGTAAGTAATAGGTAGGTAATACGTAGGTGGTAGGCCTTGGTTTTGATGTATATATACTATAGCACTCGCAGATTCGTTACGCACAGATATTACTTGAAAAAGTAACATAAGTGTTTGTACAAAATTTACACCCTTTTGAGTGTAATAAGGCCATACCTGCAAATTTTTCAGGAAAGAGGTTTAAAGAATCTACGATCGAAATTGTTCGATAAATTTATTATACATAATTATACATCGCGTTGTCCGTATTATTTTTATGATTTCACATGTTAAAAGCACTTTTGGACGTATGATCACATGTAGCTTCATTATGGTACGAGTATTGAACATGAATTCGTGTGTAAGCTACGCAAGTTACATACACATTTTATTGTTTCATGTCGTACTGGTTCGTTTACCTAAACCGGTTTTTTTTTAGATATTTAGGTTATGTGTACGTTACGTTTTCAAAAATAAACCCAGATCCGAGTCCGTATTGTTTCTCAGAGAGCTTAATCTGTAGATGTGAAACACTTGGTCCCTTCACGTTTAATCACCAAGTTTATAAATTCAGGCGTTACTATATGGATATTTGTCTTACGATTTAACCTTTAATGGGTTCGCGATTCCGTTTTTATTCACAGGTACATAAATTGCCGAAAATTAAGTTGTTACAAACTAACTAATGTTGAATTAATTAATTTAAATTTATTGAATTAATTAAACATGAATTAGTTTCGGACAGTGTTAGAGTATGGGTTGAGTCTTCGGTGTGATATGTACCCCTAAAAGATTTACATTTGGCATCTTTCCAATTTAGAACACCTTAAACATTTATTTGTTTTTCAAGAGCCGATGCAAAAACACAAAAACAATAGCCACATCTGATTTATGTTCTCAAGCCCTTTACATTAATTAATTAATCTAATTTGAATAAAAACAATCAATAAAACATTAGATTTTTGAATGAATTTCACAACAAAATAAAATGCATACATTATTAATAATTAGTTTCTACATTTAGGTTGCAACAATTTTGTATTCAATCAAGTACAGTAAGAGTACTTAACATACTTTTGAAATACAAAAACTCGAGCTCATTGTCTTATCTGGTCTCTAGCTATCCGCGCATAAACAAACAAGCCGTTTGTCGACCGCACATTTGCCATGTTTTGAGAGTTTCATCTCCGCTATCGGACTGTTCTGACTAAAAAAACATTCAGAAAAAATTTTACCATACTCTGAAGAATATTCATCACGAAATGTTTTGACGTTCGATATTGACAGAACTAAAATTAAATTTTGTCTTTCTTTTTTCAAATTCGGAGAGTTCGTTCTTTATGTTTACCGATGGAACAGTTTTCTAATGATACACAACTCCGTATTTAAAATTTACTTTACATCAAAGGTAAAATAAACCCCTGGAACATACGGTTTCATTTAATTGTATGTACTAATTAAAATATATTTATTTTCAGTTGGGTCTTCGGTAACTTCCTGTGTAAGATGTACCTATTCGTTCATTCTCTGAGCTACACTGCGTCAATATTCATCCTGGTGGTCATATGCACGGAGAGATATTTTGCAATTATCCATCCCATCACTTGCAAACAAATCCTCACATCAACTAGACTCAGGGTAAGTGACTCTTCATCACTCTGGATTAAGGACTACTTAGTGTAAAAGCTCCTAAATATTAATTTTTCCCGGTAGAAACATATGCTTGCGCGTAGTTATTAACCACATTGCAAATGTGAAGTTCCTTTACAGGCATTAACCTCCGACATTTGGATTTTAAGTTCTTTGGGCACGGAGAAAAGGATTTATACAAAGTGCCGAAAGATTTAATATTTCTATAGATAGAAAAAACAGTTTTAATAATGGAATAAACTATTTAGAACGGGCTGTACAATAAGGGAAACGTGGTTAACAGTTAATTATCAATCCAAATTGAAGCCACACAGCAATAAAAATATATTATGAAGTGGAGTAATATTTGTTAGCCAGACTCAGTCAGTCAGTTAGAATCAGTAACGCTACTTCTATAGTAGGATTTTTAAATTGTTATGTACTATTTAGCCTTTAAGTATATACTATAGTTTATATTTAATATTATTATAAAAATACGTACCTAATAGGTACAGACAACATTGTATTAAATCATTTGACAGTGAATGCTTTTCTTATTAACATTTAAAAATATACACAACTTGAACAATGTATGTGATGAAAAATATGCGCGCGTAAAAAAAGGAAATTAAATTTGCTGAAAGTCGAATTGGAATGGCATTGCTCTGAATGAAATTCCAGTGTGCTAGGAATCCGAACATAGAACAATAAATACAGTAGAAGTGGTTAGTTAGCGTTCGACGCGTGCCAAAATTAGGTCTCGAAAGACCCTACTTGAGCTCAGTCCGCCATTTTCGCTTTGTATGGTATGGTTGTGCCCTGTTGTGCCATTCTCTAAAATCAGAGAAAAATGCCTTATTGTGCTGTTTTGAAGTGCAAAAATATACCCGTAGTTGTATTTTATATCATCGTTAAGTCTTATTTTAATAAATTTTCAATTTTCTGTTTATCGAATTTATTCAAATGTTAATAGTTCGTCGTAATCCAACTACTGGCCGCAAGATGGCAGCACGTTGAATAAAATTTCAATATAAAATCAATACGTCGTAACTTACAATAAAGGTATTGAACTTTCAACGATATAGCGACTGGGTAAAGTTTAAATTATATTAACAACCCAGTATTTGTTACATCTTTTTAAATTAGAAACTATGACCAATCATTATCAAGATTTCGTAGTGTTTATCATTTGTTTGTGTGCGTTTTGGCGACAGCGGTTTCGATAGTAATCGGGGCTTGGCTTAAGGCACTTCCATCGTTTTTTTTCTTCCCCGTGTAATTCCCCAAGCAGCACACCCACATTTAATATATATAATAAGATATCTAATAGAATTTAATTCGATTGAATATTTTAAGAGTTCAAATTCCAACATTCTAAAATTGCAACATGGCGAAATAAGATATAATATTTCTGATTTTTTCGCGCAATGTTTAATCGGTTAGAAAGCGCGAATTGACGTGCGTCTTTAAATACATTGTGAAAAGTGATGTAAAACCTGTCATAAAAGTAATGCGCTCGCTAAATTTTAAATATTTATGAATAAAATATAAACTTAAAAAAAATACAGTAGAAAGCTTAAATGTAGAAAATAACTCACAAAACAAACAATTTCCAAGAAGTTCTAGGCTTCTTCAAGCTAATTTCAACTCAGATTTACTTTTTTTTTAAAAAGAAATTTTTCTCAGCTACTTCATAGTCATTCTTTAAAAATAAAATGGCAATAAGAATTTAAACCTTTTTTCAATAAACTGTTGGGAGCATTTTATCTATAGAAAAACTTTAGAATACGAAAATATTATTCTTACTTACTTTATGTAGTTGATCTTGTAGAAGAATATTCACTCTTAAGAAGCTTCTGTGGTTGTGTACAAAACGCGATGTTACTAAGTGATTTTTTCTTATGACAGTATTACAAAACCTTTATAAAAGTTTTAGAATAAATAAAATATTATAGAATAGTGAGCGTATTATGCAATAAAAAACTTTTCAAAACACTAGGTTAAAAAAACAATTGAAAAAATCCAATTTGTCGCAAAAAACACGTTATTCTGTATAATTATATGGAATGTGTTATATATGACTAGAAAGGTGGATAAATTCCCTATCATATAAATTTATGGAATATTTTAATGACATACCTAACTTATGTTGGAAGAAATAAAATTTTCATTGCAAAATTGAGGTTATTTTTTCATGCCAACCACATTTCACACAATGATTTCACTGTATTCAATTGACAGACGGCACAATACACATACACAACATTGAAGTACAGTAGTTTACGCGTTTTTCATTTCATAGGTCAATGGCTCATTTCAATTGTTTTTATCACTTATTTGTCAATAAACAAATGCCGGCCATGACCGGCCCGAGCGCAAATTACGACTAATGTACCCAGCGTTGCCAATTTGTGGGGAATTCCCCAAATTGTGGGGAGTTTCAACTATTGGCGCTATGTGAGGAAAATGTTCAAAATTCTAACATTTTATCATTTTGTTTAATCTATCAATTGCTGATGCATCGCTAGTTTGATCGTTACTGTTAGAAACACTGTGATGGACTATATCGACGTGTTTTTCAACATCGCACATCCCTCGTATTATTAACAAGCAGCTTAAATAGAATTATTATTAGAGCACTTGGTTCTGAATTGTAAAATTACCAGTCGGTGCTTGTTGAGTTCGCGATTCTTTCTCCAGCTTAGGTCGGTCCCCGGTATGAAGCAAAACGAAATCAGCTATTGATAAACAAAGCCGAGCAGTTGATACTTCCACACCATAACTTACCATTACCACTAGTCAACTTTAAATATTAAATATAGGTCGAAACTCATTGATTATTTCTAACATTAACATAATGTCACCAAATGCACAACAAATAATCAATCTACTTAATTTTGTAAGGCAAAGAAAAATGATTTTTTATTCTGACTGATTACAGATTAATGTTGAATCTAATTAATATTATAATTAATATAACTGCCTCCGTGGCCGAATGGTTACCATGCCGGACTGCCATGCAGAGGTCCCAGGTTCGGTTCCCGGGTCGGGTGGAATATTTATATGGCCTACATTTATTTCTCTCGTGAGTTTGGGTGTAATTTGTGGTTGTCTACGTGTGTGTCCATGGCACCCGCGACACAGGGTTTCCCTAGAGCGGGGCTGTGTTGAGTATGTACGTTATTATTATTATTATTAAAATAAATAAACAGTTTGAGGTCATCTAATTTTATAACTAGTTTTACTTTTTACATTCACAGCAAACGTAATAGATTATTACATTTTGAGTTTCTTAATTCTTTATTATATTTTTAAGCGATGTATTTCTAATAAATAATGAAAACTCGAGATGTGGAGAATTTGTGGGGAATATGAACTTTGCTCTCCCCAAATTCGGGGATTTTAACCGTGATTTTTGGGGATTTTGAACAATTGGCATTGGCAACGCTGATTGTATCGAATGATGTGACTTAATATCCAAGGCTCACCACCTCCACCAGATCTTTTAATATTCTTTACTTTATCCATTTTGCATGAACTCTTACAACGTCCAATAGAGTAAAAACCCTAATTGTAATATTTTTTTAAATAAAATCCACTGAAGACGCGCTATAACGTGATGACAATAAGTACAGACATTAAAGAATGTATATAAATTAAATATATCTACAATAAACATAAGAACACTAGTTTTTAGAGTATTAATAGACTTTACTGGATGTGTATAGAACAATGTTACTAAAAATAATCAGTTGTTCTACAGATGAACTTAAAATAAGGACTATAAGAGTAAATCTTAAGAGAGATTACACTTAATTAAGTTGTTTGGTATTAAGAAGGTGTTAAAATTTTGACTTGAGTGAAATAAGTCTATAAGAACAATTTCTTTTTTCTAAAACCATTTATAGAGAACTATTGTCTAAATCAATACCATATTAAGACTGTTTATAGATATAACAGTTTTAAGGCTTATAAAGTGTGCTCATTGGGCCACTCATGTTCATGATTAAAAATACTCGAATACAGCAGATGACAAGAACATGGGCTTTGAAAAGGGATGTGATGTAGGTCTTCTTTACTTGGACATATAAAAAGGCTCGATTTTTATCGCTTACTTTGGTTTTTACGGCCGAGGGGGTACGCAGTACACTTTGAAAAAAGGTTCCGAAACACAAGACAGACAGATTGTACTGAATAAAGCTCGTTTCCACTTAAGGCGATTAACAACGTTGACTAGAGCCAGACTTTTGTGCAGGCAGCTAAAGCCTAGGCACAGGAAATTTTCACTAAAACGGGAGAATATGAAGCGCTCTCAAAGACGACGTCGCAAACTGTAGCTGTTGTGTGTGTCTTTCCATTTAGTCTTGTCTGTAATGTGTCAGAAATAGTACACAGTGCATTAGTGCTGTCGATTCATCATAGCTATTTATACGTACCTTTTACAAAATTAGGTGGAATAAATTTCATGATTTCTAAAGAAATTCAATAGCGTATTCACATGTGTAAGTCAGCTCGTGGACGCGTTCCACTATTGATAAAAAATGTTAATTTTAAGATGTCTAGTGTCTATCGAAATAACACCAAATCCTTCCAACTATTTCGTTGCGCAAGCTTTTGTGTTAAAGAGAAGTGGATTAAAATGATAGCACATGCATAAGTTATACTAACAACGTAAATCAAAACACTAATAATAATCAGTTACGCAAATGTTTGATTTAATTATACAATATCAAAACAACAGCTCTAAAATGTTATTAATGTAGGTTAAACGAACGGTCTAAAAGATCTTCGCTTCGAATTGTATCTTTTGGTAATGCTCCAAAAATCCCACATCAATACTGACCACGTCGTTGAGTCACGTAAATCTGGTGATGTACAGGACGTCCACGGCTAAGGAATTCGGAGGGAAGTGCTTTCAATATTGTAGATAGAATATTTATTTTATATATTTTATGTTAAGTATTTCGTTTTGGGTGTTTAGTAGCAGTAGAGCTCGATGTGAAAGAGTT